CAAAAATGCCTTTCTTTGGCTTCTTTTATCTACCATTCTTTTACCCATCAAGTTCACACAAATCCAACTCAGTATTCTAGATAAATTTATGACAAGATAGTTGGGTAAACTCATCCAACAACTAATAAAGAAATAATTTAATTTAAGTGTCTTTATTGAAAATTTTCAAACTACCCTTAGATGAAAAGTCGAGGTTTCACAAATCTACCTTTCATGCTTTAACTTGCAAAAAAAGCTTCCTTTGGTTTCCTTTCCTTTCCATACTTTCATGCATTGATCATCCACAAGTATAACACTATTTTTATGAAGAATTATAATCATATAATTGGAAAATTTCTCCAATACTCAATAATAAAAAAATGTAGTTCATAAAAGCTTAAATGTACCAAATTTCACATAATGAAAAATTAAGGTTTAACATGACTGTACCATTATCCTCTGTTATTATAGTTATACATAATTGTTAGGAAGATAAGCTTAAAGTAAAGTAACTAAGAGAGAGGGTAAATTGGTTATAAACTAAAACTTGTCCCTTTTTAAAAGATCTTTGAAAATGTAGTAGACATGAAGTAAAAATAAAGTATAAACAAAATAAGCAAAGTGTACAAAAGTAAAGAGTACTCACCTAGATTTTTATAGAGGTATGGCCTTTTAATGTCTACGTCCTCTCCCTTGATAGCACAAGGAGTTTGAATTCACCAACAACTTACCTTTTCAATAGGGTTAGGCGTAACCTTTACAACATGCCTTTTAACAAGATCAATCATAACCTTCACAACATGCCTTTTCCCAGGATCAGGCGTAACCTCTACTAAGATATTGTCTTTTTAAGGTTGAAGCACAACCTTCACACAAGATACAACCTTTTGCTTAGATGTGTAACCAATATAATAGTGGATTCTAAAGAATCTCTCACTCAAAACCTCTAGAAAGACTAGTAAGAAAGTTTAAGTTTAGAAAGATGAGAGCTTTATCAAAAGATATGAAGGATAAAAGAAGGTTTAGCTCATAAAGGATCAGTTGAAGGATAAAAATGTGATCTTTAAGTTCTACTCTTGCTTAAAGATAAGTTTTTTCTACTCGTAGCTCTTTTGATTTTTTTTTCAATTTTGTCCTCTTCAAGGGTGATTTAGAATTGTTCAAGTTCTTTACTTGAATGTTCTTAAGGTAGATATATATAGGCCTTGTGATTTCTTACCCATTGGAATCAAATTTGAATAAAATTTTGTTTAAGCCAACATGCACTTTTTCTATCGCACATGGATAATCGATTTTTTGATCATGAGTTGTCGGTTGTTCTTAAAGTCTAGAGCTTTCTGTCTCTGGTGAATCGATTTTTTTATTTTGAGATGTCAATTCCTTTAAACTAAGTTCAAAGATGACATCTTTGCATTCTTGGAGAACTGATTCTTCTGCCTCCAGATGTTGATTCTTCACTCGGACTGAGCACAAAATTTGAATTTGATCTTTATTTTTGGCTTTCCAATCTTATCCAATTGTACCATCTCTTTGCTGGTCACCAAGTTTCTGAATCTTGCTTTTGGTGCTCTAATAACCAATATTTTCTCTATGTAGAATCGATTTTTTCTTCTTCACATTTCTGCCTTCTACATTCTGTTCCTTTAAAATTGATTCTTTCTTTCTTAGTTGTCGATTTTTCACAAATCCTGAAGTTTCTGTCTTCTAAGAACCGACTTTTTCTTTTTTTAGAATCAATTCTTCATTGTAGATGTCTGCTTAAGAACTGACTTCTCCCATCTTCAGAATTGATTCTTCCTGTGATAAAGAAATAAATTTTGCTTTCTTCTCATCTAAAAATCAAGCCTTCATATTTGAGAAATTGATTCTTAAGCTAGCACTTTGAGTTTGAGTTCTTTGAAAAGTAGTTTCTTTGCACATAAACTTTCAAAACTCCTTGAGCATGTTTAAGAGCATGTCTTTAAGTTCATCAGCATTTTCAAAGCATATTCAATTCATATGCTTTTAAGATTAGCTTTAAAACATTTATAAGGATTTACTTCATATTCAAAAACATTATTCATTTTCAAAGCATATTTAGATCAATCAATTTTGTCATTACAAAATAAGTATAAAGCTAACAATCTCTTTTCTTTTTATATGACAAAATTAAGAGTTAAATTTTCTCATTAAAGAACTCCATTTGAAATTATGCTCAAGATTTCAAAACCAAGGTAAAATGATTGGAAACATTTTTCAAGTAAAGCTCCCCTTGAATCTATGCTCTCTTAAAAAAGATTCAAATTTGAGTTTGAAAGCACTTTTAAAATTATTTTGAAAAATATAGCCATGAGATTTAAAGAAGTTAAGCTTGGCAAATATATTCACAATATTCTTCCTTGTTTTTGTTATATAAAAAAGAAACATAAAATAGAGTATAAGAATGTAAAACTCACAAAGACAACACACCATTAGTAGCAAAAGTTTAAGTTCAAATTAAATAGCATTTGAAGACAAATCTTATAGACGTTCATAGCAAGAGAGATCAATCAATCATCAACCAACACAGAGAATTATAATCAACATAGAGAACTACAATCAAAAAAGATATTTCATTAAGTAAAAGATGTACAAAATATCATTTGCAATATTATCAAATTTGACTAAAACAAAATGTATGCAAATATAAATGTAGAGGTCATCCAATAAAATTGAAAATTTAGATGTTTTAAAAATCATAATAAATGTGCTCCATACCTATAAAAATTTAATATTTGTCTTTAATGGATTGACTTTAGGTCAACTGTTTAAGTCAGGTTTCTTCTTAAGCTGACTCATTTTCTTTTAATGCTTTTCTTGTTCATAAAGTAACTTTTTAATTTGATTGTCAAAGTAGCTCTCCATTTCTACAATCAAAGAGTTCATGGTGTTTTAGGAATAAGGATCTTCAATGCCAATGAATTTCCTGCTATCATTTGTTTCTCTTTCTTTTTGTTCATGAACTTGTGCAAGTGTCATATTCTTAGGGTAACATTTCCCTTCAACCAAGTGATATTGAAACTCCTTTATTACTTTTTTAATAGTCTTCTGACTTCGACATTTGATCATCAAGTCTGCTCTAATGTCGACCTCAAATGCATCTATCAATTGACTTATCACCATTTCATGAACTAATCTTTTATTCTTTCTTTCAATTACTTCCATCATATCTATAAGAATGAAGTAGCCCAAGCTAATTTGCTTATTGTGTTTGTTAAAAGTGTTAGCTCAATGAATAAGTGGCAAGAATATCCAAAAAAGGATGAATTGAACTTTAAAAAAAATGGAAAATGTAAACAGAGTAGCTATAATTGACTATGATGAGCAACTAGTCGACAATGATCATGTCTTGTCTTTATAAACACTTTTCAAAACTATTTGACCAAGTCTATAATTGACTATACAAATTCAATTGTCAATCTTAGTGCAGAGATCATTTGGAAAACTTGTAAAAGAGATCTTTTGAAAATTTTGATAATTATGCTTAATGATAAGTAAGTCTACACAACCAAATATAAACCAAAGATTACTTTTGAAATACTTAAAATAATTTTTAAGTTTGAATCAAACAATAGCAATTCAAGAACAATTTTTCAAAAAATATTATCAACACTAGATAGACAAATGGTGATGGTTGAAAAAGGTATAACAAAAAGCCAAATCAAATTGTTAAGAATATAAATCAAAACACAAGCAATTTATGAAGTGAGTCTTCTTAAAACAAAATGCAACAAATCAACGCAAAAATAAAATTGAAGATATTAAGTAAAAATCAAACCTTTTTCAAAATGGATTTCCTGCTTATGTTAAAATCAATGTAAGTAATTTTTCTAAAGCAGAGTTTCAATAATAAATCATAAAGCATTAAAGTAAATCAGGACACAAGGATTTTATAGTGGTTTGGCTTTTTCAAATGCCTACAGCTATTCATTTGTCTAATCAAGGAATTTTCAATCCATTAAAAAGATTCTTACTTTTTAATGCGAAGCGATAACCTTTACAATGGCTTTTAATGGATTCAACCAAACGCATGGTTTTAATTGGTTCACCACAAACCCATGGTTTTAACGAGTTAATAAACCCCATGGCTTTAACGGGTTTACCACAAACCCATGGTTTTTAATGGAATCACCACAAACCCATACTAACTTTTTTAGGCTAAGTTAGAACCTTTAAAAGGATTACAATAATGCCTCTGAAAGGTGGATTTTGCTAGTTTGGTACAGTAGAGGAAGAATGCCTAACTTTGGGTAAAAAGATAGGACATAAAAATGGGAGTGAAAGCACAAAGAAACTTAGCTCAAAAAGGCTCGGTGTATTTCATTTTCTTTCAAGACTTTGATCCTCAAGAGTTTGGCTTTTTCCTTTTCTTCTTCCTTAACTTAAAATTCTTCCAAATGGTTTGTTTTATAGTTGAAAGAGTTTTGGAGTCGTTAAAGGTGATTAAAGTAAGAAACTAGTCATTTTCCTTTTGAATTTGGAGTTTGACAATCATATATAGTCACGAATAGAAGTTTTCTAGCCGATCAACTTCCACAGAGCTGTATTTTTCAAATCTAGGCTGAGGTAGTCGACTATGGTGAAGTCAGGGTCGACTATGTCTTTGATTTTCTCTTTTTTCCACACATCAAGCTAGTTAAGGTCGACTACATAAAAGCCAAGGTTGACTATGTCTATGTAAAACTTCATTTCCATGAGTTCTTTACCTCAAGGTCGACTATAGAACTTATAAGGTTGACCATGGTTGTCTCTTTTCAAGTTTCCTTGTCCGTTCTTACCTGTTCTTTTATAGGATCAACTTGCCTTGCTCTAGGATCGATTAGAGCTTTGTTTCTTTAAGATTTCTTGACATTTTAACATGTAACTTTGGACATATCTTCTTTGTGATCAAATGTTGAGT